ATTATGCCGTTGGTAAACAGGAAATTGAAAGAAGCAAAGAAGTGGGAGGAACAAAAAATTTTTTTTTTTTACATATTTCATATAAATACTCCAACCCAGGCTCATAGCTTGCTAGTAGAAATTTTTTAGCATGTTTGCATGCTGTGATGATTTCTGGTCTTTCATGAAGCAGCGTATGTTGTTCAGGCTACAGCATAATCACGAATTTCTCCTCGTGGAATAATTTACACATTTTATTCCTTATTTTAAATGCACGAGTTTTAATCAACATATCCCATTTCAGAATTGCACTTTTGTTCATTTTTTCCTTCACTTTCCAAACATAACACGCAAGTTATACGCTCCATTTATAACTTGCTAACTTAAAGGAAGATTTGTGATTATAGTATCTCGTTTTGAACGTTCCTTCTGTGGAACCAATATACACTTTTTCTTGACCCTTTATAGGTCCTACTTTTTCTCTTATAAACAAGACCGTTCACCATTCAGCATTCCGGCAACTGCATTTTTCTCTGCAGTTTTTGCAGATGCTCTCCCCACATCCAGTTTCTTTTTATTTTACCCTTTTATTATTTTTTCTGTGACTCTCATACAACTGTAACTTTTATTTTTACCCTTTTATTATTTTTTCTGTGACTCTCATACAACTGTAACTGATTTTTACAGTGCTTTTAACCGAAAACTTTGTGTAACATAGAATTTTGGAGGAAATGCTTACTTAAAAACGCCGAGAAAATTCTTCTAATCTTTGTTTTCACTTCTAAATTAAAGTGGAAGTGGTTAAACCAAATAATATTTCTTTTTCTATTCACAGTTGAAGAAAATTCTGGGGACAAAAGAAATGCGGTTCTACAGAGAACTATGGACTGAACATGTGAGTAAAATTTTAGGGAAATTAGAAGCGAAAAGGATACTTCTATTTAGAGTCAGAAAGAGGTAATTGGAATTTCATGGACAAATAACGAGGAAAAAGGGCTTGGAAAAATTTACATTCACATGGTATATTAAAGGCAAGGGGGACAGATGAAAGCAGCACATAACCTACCTAACAAGCTTGTGTAAATTATCAGCACATATGCTAGGCCACAGAAATCTCCTGAGCCGACCAAGCATAGAAATAAATACAATATGGGAACCAGTAATAAGGAGTGCCAGAGAAAAGCAATGATAACAACAAAGTTGAAATATGAGCTGTGGTAAAAAAAAATGCAATGATAACAGCAAAATTGCAATATGAGCACTGGTAAAAATGATTGCTGAGGACATTAGGTTTATAATCGCCAGAAATTCATACCCAGATGTTCTCAAGGACATGGCACAGTGGATAAAGGCGTTGGTTAGATCCAGTGACAGGACCAAAAGAGTGTGAGTTCAATACCCGGTTAAGGCAGTGGAGAACTTTCAGAAGGAAAATTAGCAAGAGATCAAACATGCACACTGGGGTTGAACAGTCTACCCCAGTGTGCGAAAATAAATGGTTCAGTTCGAAATTCCACCTGCCGAAACGTTGTGATAAATATGGCGACGAATAATGTAAATAATGTACATAATACCTCATCTGAGAAATATATGTGTAAATAGTTGACAGGGCAGATAGGGAAGAGACAAAATTTACAATGAGTTAAAAAACAGGAAATTGCGGTGAGTCATGTTTACAAATATTAATTATTATTATACTGGTCAACACGATTTTTAGTTCCAAGAAACAAAAGCTAATTTGATGGTGCTGATTCCGAAAATGATTTTAGTTTTTCATGGTTACCTACCGTTCTTATACTGAAATTGCTTATTTTTGGAAAAAAGATAAATTTACGATCTTATCTGATTACCAAATTTTAGTTAATAAAGGTCGTAGAACCCCATCAATTTTCAGGTAGGCTGAGCAATTTATGTCAACCTGAAATAAACTATTTTTATAAGAAAAAAGTGTTTTTGAGTTAAAAAATTTAAAACAGAAGTACCGAATTTTTTCAATTTATCGACAAAATCGAAATTAACTGATAAACTTTATCAGTGAATACACTTTAGTAATCCTGATAATTAAGGTGACATCAAAAAAATGAAACCCTAAAATCTTCTGTTTGATATTCATAAATTTATCCCATCACTTTTATCCCTTCACTACGGAAGGAAACCAAACACATTGAGAGCATTTTGTTTTCACAGTTGGAAAGAAACTCCAACTAAAGACATCTCAATTTAATGCACCTATTCTATTGTACATGATACTGATGGAATATCAAAAGGGACTTAAATAACATTGAACATGACAGACAATCAAGAAAGAGAAAATATTTACCATAGTTCTTATGTTCACGAAGGTTTTATTTCTGCTGTTAGCTTATTAAATGATTTGATGAAAATACTTATTGGTCCCGGTAAATTCAATCATGTTATTTTTAAAGACTTAAGGTCTGATTGTTATTGCAAAAATAGTATTTTTCAATAAGCAGACCAATATTTGTTGGTTTAAATACGAATTGAGAGGTTTATACGATTTTATTTGGAGAAATATTGCCATCGGCCAATATCATATATACAAAAAACAAAAAATGCCTTTTTTTCTAAAAATGATGCATTTCTGTACAGCAAGAACGGTAGCTAACTAAGAAAAAGTAAGGTCATTTTCAGATTCAGCGCCCTCAAATTAGCTAAAAAAGATGTTTGGTGTCTCGACACCATTTAAATTTTTTTTTTTCACCATTGTTATTAGAGGGAGTATCTTGCACCGCACGTCCAAAGGCAGTACTTGTCGGTTAATGGAAAAGGGCTTTAGACTAGATTGTTTGTGACACCTATACTGGTGGCATGTCACTTGTACCTGTTCAAACATATCAGAAGTAAAACTCAATTCAGTCCAGGATGATGACTTCTGTATCAATGAAATTTTAGAAATTATTCTATGTCGACAAATACTGACTGTAGTAGAGCAGTGGTTGAGCAGTTGGGCTAAATGATTAGAGGCCTGAAAGTCAAAATTCATAATAGTCATAATAAAATCATGAAAAAATGGATAGTCATAATAAAATCAAGAAACAATGAAATCAAACATAGAATTATTTCCGTTGCGGTCAGTCTATTCTGTATTCAGTTACGGTTTTTCTAAAACACATGCACAAATTGATACAAAAGGCCCATCAAAAAATCACTATTTAAAATTGATGACGCTGACTCACTTTCTCACACAAAAAACACACACACACACACACACACACACACACATATATATATATATATATATATATATAATAAATAAATCCTAAAGAACCAGGAAAACCTACCTAGGTTTCACCTAACGGATCTTCAGGGTAAGCCCGCTTACCCTGAAAATCCGTTTAGGTGAAACCTAGGTAGGTTCTCCTGGCACTTTAGGATTTACTTTATTTATTCCAGCTCTACTTACCGTATTGAGCACTCTACGTTTTAGCTTTATTACTAGTATGTTTTTTTTCTTCTTCTTTGGGCTCAAGACTTAAGGCAATGGATGATTTATTTCGCCCGATTCAAATGTTTTTAGTTCTTTCCTTTTTTTTCAAATTTTTTTTCCGGGTACCGATTTATTTTGACATATCTACAAATTTTGCCATCCGAGCTTTTTTTTTCCCCAACTGAGTATTACTATATATATATATATATATATATGTATATATATATATATATATATATATAATTATATAATATATAATTTTAAAGTAATTAAGAAATATTTTAATCAGTCATTATTTCTTATTGCTTATAAAAGGCACATTTTCTTTTATATGACTTTCGATAGCTCAGACCAGTAGGTGTTAAGTTCATAGTTTAAAAAAACGAATGTCTACGCAAACAACGTCCACCCACTAAATGTGTTCATAATGATATGAAAGTTATCTATCTATCTATCTATCTATCTATCTATCTATCTATCTATCTATCAATCTATCTATCTATTACCTGTGATTATATCAGTGTGTCTGAACGTAAACTGTCGAAAAGTTATATATATATTTAACTTAATATTACAGTCGAGGGAGTGCTCTTTCATATTCTCAAGTCGTCGTATCTCTCTCTCTCTCTCTCTCTCTCTCTATCTCTCTATCTATCTATCTATCTATCTATGTAGCCAGTTTAATCTGTTCATATCGCTTTAATTTTGTTACTAAGCATGTATGTATGTACCCATGCATGCATGCATATATCTATCTATCTATCTATCTATCTATCTATCTCATAAAGATTATCTATCTATCTATCTATCTCATAAAGATTATCTATCTATCTATCTATCTATCTATCTATCTATCTATCTATCTATCTATCTATCTATCTATCTATCTATCTATCTATCACTTTTGACCAAAGCGTAGCACCTGTTAATCTTCCTCTTGCCTATCAGTTTCATAATTTACGTCATCTGGAAATGTTTCATACGTGAGTGAAGATGTTCACTTCTATTGAAGACGTTTATTTAACACGTCAAGGCCATAATAGGAGTCGATATGGCATAAAACCAAGATCATAATTCAGCAGACATTGAAGTTCTTGAGAAAATCGCTTATAAATATTTACTCTAACCAGCATGCTTGATTGAGAGTGTTAACATTTTTAGCAAAGGGTGGGAGGCCCAAGTTCTATCCGGTGTGCAAGGCTAGGAAAATCAGTGCTGGATCAGGTAACCTAGTTGAAGGGCCACCTTTTTCGACGTTATCTTTTAACAGTCGATGTTGTATATATATATATATATATATATATATATATATATATATATATATATATATATATATATGCAGTAGAGTTATTTCTGCTTCTTTTCGATAAAATGGTCTTAACCCAAAATTCGCGCAACTGTTGTGACTATTGGAACTAATAGTACTGCTATTACTATAATGATACCAACTACTTCGACTGCATCTTGGGACACTATTGTTACTACTACTACTATAACACGGATTTAGCTATGCTGATATTTGTACTTTAAAGAGGTGCTTCTTGCATCTTCCGACTCTGACGGATTGCCTTCCAGACCTTCGATGCACGCAGAAAAACACGTAAAATAATGTAAACTTGTCGCTATTAGATTTTTGTCATCAAAAGAAAGATAGTTAAAAGAAAGTAATCAAATTATTAACCTAATAACCACTTCTTAATAATGTCGATGTTAGTTTACTTTGCGATTTCTGTTAAATTTGGAATTGTACCAGCAGAAGAAGGCAAAGAAAAAATAATATCAAAATATGAGCGGGAAGGAGAAAGGGAATGACCCCCGCCTCGCGATGCAATATTGAAATTAGCGCACTATAAACTTAAGGGCGTATATTTCTACGCATATACCTGCAAACAGTAAGCGATGTTTCCTTACAATGTGACACACGCGGCCTTTTGTGTAAGTATTACCTACTTTTTTATTAAATATTTTACTTTCTTATTTTTCTAAATGACATGCTTCTCTCTCTCTCTCTCTCTCTCTCTCTCTCTCTCTCTATACTTTGTATATTTAAAACACAATATGTTGAGCCATGTGGTTGAAGAACGTGCATGGGTTATTTGTGCGGGCGCGGACACACAAATACATACATACACGTACATAATCGATACGCGCACACGCACTCTGACATCGACACGCACATACACACAGTCGCACGCACATGCTCACACCCATATGCGCACACGCGCTCTCTCATACACATTCTCACACCCTGCAAACACCCATCCTCTAAATGCGGTCACACATGCACACGAACACACACTCCTCCGCATACACTAATCTCCAAACGTTCAATTACATACACTCTTATCTACATACAGTGACCAACACAGCAACCCACAACCACATACAGTCACCCCTATGTTTCGGTCTCTCACACACAGACACGGACACAGACACTGACACTCTCCCCCCCCCACACACACACGTGTTGAAGAACAGTTGTTTTTGCAGGTTGTTTCCTCACTTTTCACCATTCGTCGCTTTCCCGGGTGAAGTCTGAAATATTCTTCGTGCGAGGTTTTCCATTGCAAGGGACAGGTGTTCTCATGTCTCTGCTATCTATCTATCTATCTATCTATCTATCTATCTATCTATCTATCTATCTATCTATCTATCTATCTATCTATTTCTTTCTTCTTTCTTTCTTTTTTCTATCTTCTTTATTTCTTTCTTTCTTTCTTTCTTTCTTTCTTTTCTTTCTTTCTTTCTTTCTTTCTTTCTTTCTATCTATCTATCTATCTATTTCGGCTTCTTTCTTTCTTTCTATTTCGGCTTCTTTCTTTCTATCTTTCTTTCTATCTATCTATCTATCTATCTATCTATCTATCTATTTCGGATTCTTTCTTTCTTTCATTCTTTCTTTCTTTCTTTCTTTCTTTCTTTCTTTCTTTCTTTCTTTCTTTCTTTCTATTTCGGCTTCTTTCTTTCTTTCTATCTGGGATTATATCTGACTATCTCTGTTTTTTCTTTTCAATTTTCTATCTTTCTTTCTATTTCGGATTCTATCTATCTATCTATCTATCTATCTATCTATCTATCTATCTATCTATCTATCTATCTATTTCGGATTCTTCTTTTTTTTTTCTATTTCGGATTCTTCTATCTATCTATCTATCTATCTATCTATCTATCTATCTATTTCTGTTTTTCTTTTATGTTTTTTCAATTTTCTATCTTTCTTTCTATTTTGGATTCTTCTATCTATCTATCTATCTATCTATCTATCTATCTATCTATCTATCTATCTATCTCAGTTTCAGTTTTTTTCATTCTTTTTTTCCTTCTTCCTTTTCAGATTTAAAATTTTCTATCTATCTATCTATCTATCTATCTATCTATCTATCTATCTATCTATCTATCTATCCTAGTTTTTTAAGTAATCAGTATGTCTCTTCTTAGTAGATATTAGTGGGACACTTTTTTTGTAATAAAATTGCGTACACCCTTTAATATACTTACATGCTCTTCCACATGTACAAAAAAAAAAAAAATCAATGTTGTTTCTCTGCAAACGCTCAAACTGAATCTAGCCGCTCATTTCCTTAGCACGAAATCCTCCGCCTCATCGACTGCTCATCACTTTTTGTGAACAGTTGGAAAACTCGCAACTAATAAAGAAAATGGCTTTATTGAACCTTAAACCTGAATTTGAAAAGCTAACAGCTGCAAAATTGTTGACAATCTTTAAACGACGATGACATTTTTTCGAAGAAAATTTCTTTCTTTATTAAATAGAAGCGAACGTCTTTTCATTCATATTTTTATTTTATTTTTAAATGTCATATTTTTCTTGTTCAAAATGATTTTCCGATATACAAATGCTAATAACAACCGCAGAAACCATTTTAACGCAAAGAACAAAACGAAAAATTACACTTTTATTATTGATTGTATGTATTTCCTTTGGTGAATGAACTTGCAATTTAGACTAAAACAAGCTGAATGAATTTGTGAAGGAATGGTATTTGCTATGCTAATCAGCTTTTACTTATAATTTATTTAATTCATTATTTAGACATTGGGGTTATGAAAAAAGAAAACAGAAGGCTGATGATCTAAAAGCATAATGGTTCTTCTATTTAGGAATCATATTCATATGCCTACAATCTTTACTTATTAATATAGTTCTCCAAACTGTTTACATTGTAAACCAATACATGTATATTTAGACAAGTGCCAAGGTGTGTGTATTTAGGGTTGGGCATAAAACCATTTGCGCCCACATTAGACAATCATTTCTTTTGCAGATGTGTGTAAAACGTGTGGTCTTACATAAACGGTTTCATTTTTAGAATATTTTTCAAAATCGTCGAAAAATATAAAGGAACGATCTATAACTTACTTGAAAGAAGTCAAGGAATAAAACAAACATTTAAATTATTTAATTCCTTCGCAAGTCGTTTTTGATATAAACCACTCCAGATTTAGATGTTCTTCTTTAAAGAAACACCCAGAGATAAATCAAAGACATAAATAAAAGTGATTTGGTCAGAGAATTACCGAAAACGCCGTATACACGGATTTAATCCATAAAAACAAATATTTATTATTTTAATTTAATTTTTTTTAAAGCTATCTCTGCTACTTTTTCCTTTACAACATTCTTGCTGTTCTATTCCCTGGCTTTATTTGGGGGAAATTTTGTTCTATACATTGTCATGAACCAGTTCATATGCCCTGTACCAACGACATCAAGAAGTAGAAAGGTAATCAACAACAATTCATTGAATATTAACAACCCGTCTCCAAATCTCAGACAAAATCTGTCAAGCCATGTCTCGCATAACACTTCGTTTGGACAAAATTCATTATTAATGATCTGAGAGACTCGGAGCTGAACGGCGGGTAAACGGCAGACACTTTTGTGTATATGAGTCACATTTATATATACGACATGGTATCGGAAAAATCCTGGACTCCACGTGATGTTTCTGCACTGCTCAATGGAAATGCGCGCTCAGGTAACTCTCATTGGTGCCAAGCGAGTACCGAATCAGTTCGCCAATAGGCTTCATGCTACGCGTTCGTGTTCGGTCATGACGCAAGGTTTTTGTAACGCTAGGTTGGAACGGCACTTCGACTTTTTCGATGGCTGACGAATTCGAGCAACGTACATGCATCAAATGTTTGTTTAGAGTTCGATAAATGTGCTATCGAGTCCCTTGAAATTCTTCGCTAGTACAAGTTTTTAAAAGATGTCTGGCGGTCGATTGCCTATCGGCTCAAGATGGTAATCGTTTAAGTCGGCCAATCACGACTAAAACTCCAGAAAATATGAAATAAACCTTCTTGAAATCATCTATGTAAATAGACGCCAAGAATTAATATTATTTACTGGAATTTTTTTTACCTCGTCTGAGAAGTTTTCGATATGACCATAAAAATATAAATATATGTATACAATTTCATTGAACTGTTTGTGTATATATATATATATATATATATATATATATATATATAGTTGTATATTTAGGCAGCAATCCTTCCTTTATGCATCTTTCATTAAAAACGACAGACAAGGTACTACGGTTGAGCTTTTTATTTAATTTTTCTTGTGTTCTGACAAGGGCTTTCTTTTCTGGACAAAGGGTGCGTAAGAACTGTCCGAATGTTTTGTATTTCCGAGTTATCTGATGATCCGGCGTCCTTTAAAAGGGCTCTGGTGAAATAAATTATTATAAGGGTACCTTAAAGTGGTCTGTTTTTCTTTTAAATTATATATATATATATATATATATATATATATATATATATATATATATGTATTATGTATAATTTTCAGCGTATTTCTTTGGGAAATAAATGCTTATAATATATATGTATATATATATGAAGAAATATACTCTTAAGATGTACTATATTTATGTGATAAAGTGCTCAATATCAGAGATAGAGCGTGTGTAAACATAAAAGTGAACATAGAAGTCAACATCTAGCATTTAGCATGAAACAGACTGTCGCCTCTAAGTGTTGATTTCTATGTTCTCTTATATATATATATATCTATATGTGTGTGTGTTTGCATGTATTGTATAAATAGATTACACTACTACTAATACTACCAGTGGAAATAATATGATTGAAATGAAGATTAAAAGAAATATATATATATATATATATATATATATATATATATATAGAGAGAGAGAGAGAGAGAGAGAGAGAGAGATTTGTGTGTATATATATAGCTGAGTGGTTAGAACGATTGCATTCTGATCACGAGACCCGGGTTCGAATTTCACCATAGTCGATTTTTCAGGATGGAGACTTCCTGGTGTTATCTGACTGGATGGATCGATCCCAGCGTGCAGACAAAGTGCCTGAAAACCATACCACAGGTTGACCAAATCCTGGTGAGTGAAATTGGGTAGATGGGACCCTTGGAACTCATTACCGAAGGTTTGAGCGTGCTGACCTCGTTCAAATTGGCGATCACGTTAGAAACTGTAACTAAGGTCTGCTCAGCAAACCACAGAGCAGGCGGCTGCAATAGGGATTGGCTAGACTGCTATCCTCGAATACGAATGGCCAGCTATTATTATATATATGTGGTGGAGTAATAGATAGCGGCTCGGATTGAGGAATCGGAGAGCCGAGTTCGAATTCCAATCGAGCTCATTACAAAGGTTCTTTTCTCGTTCGAATCATGTTTGTTGGCCTAAAACTTGTGAATGAAATTGAGTAACCGCCGATGATTATGCTAGCACAAAGTTATAAGTCATCGTGACCGAGATTTTAAGAATATTCGCCTTGTTCAGCTACTGATCACAACTGATTATTCGTTATCTTTCAGATACTGTTACTAAGGTCCATTGCCGTTTAACGCTGTGGGTGCTGAAATGAACGCTCGCAGACATCTGCAACAGAGATTGAGGAATCCTCTTAGCAGACGGAAGCGGGGTGACTCTGTACACGATATACATAGGTGCAGCAATGTCCGTATCTAGATGATAATAAAAAAAACATTTATTTTACAAGGCAAATATTTCTTTGCCAATCTAATTTTCTCTCATGTCTCTGCATTTAATTTAGTTGTGAATATTAATCACATAGATTGAAAATTATACAATAAAACTTTCAGATCAAAATTCAACTAATTCAGGCCACAGACTTATTGATCAACTCAATGTCTGTATATGTACATACACACACGCCTATATGTAGGTATATCAATAAGTTCGTATCAAAGTGATTATTTTACACAAATATATTTATCTGTATTTCTGAGATGGGGTATTATGATTACTTGCATTATTTGGACTTTTATGCTCATCTTTATTCAAAACGTTTCGGACTTCTTCAGGCGATTGGAATTTCGAACCGAACCCTTTATTCATATTTTCTATTGCTCTAGTTCCAAGTTCCAAGCCTCTTCCGTATGTCTCAGTTATTTCCTTTTAACTCAACTCTCCATTTTTCTTTTGTTCACCACTGCTGTGGCCTGGTATTGAACTCAAAACTCTTTGGGTCTAGTCACTGGATCTAACAATCGTCTTTATCCACTGGGCCATGTGTCCTTCGGGATAGCCGTGTATTGGGCCATGTGTCCTTTGAGATAGCCGTGTATGAAATTTTGTGTCTTTTTGTCTCAGCACACATTTTTTAACAGTGCTCATATTGCAATTCTTGTTATTATTATTTCATTTATTTTTTACCAGAGCTTATATTGCAATTTTTGTTGATGTTCATTGCTTTTTTGTAGCACTCCTTATTACTGGTTCCCATATTGTATTCATTTTTATGCTTGGTCGGCTCAGGAGATTTTTGTGGCCTAGCATATGTGCCGATTCCTTAAGATTCCATAAAATATTTATCTGTCAACATAATCTCCTCCCTTGTCAATGCGCTTAATTCAATATTTATCATTAAGCACATTAAACACTGACACTTTCAGATCATATTTCAGTTAATGAATGTGTAGTAACATTTCTTTGTTGTGAAATAGTTAACTAGTGAATCTCGCAGATTAGTTACTAGTAGTTGTCCTATACTTGTGGACTTGTGCTGAACTAACTTAAGCGTGTCAGGTTACGGACTTACTGATCCAACAACGTAGACGTAGTTTTGGGAAACCTGGTGCTTAGTTATTTAGCCTAACTTAGAACAAAATCGTGAGGGCATCAGTGAGAACTGAAGCCATTACAACGAACTGGTTTGCAAGACGAGATCGTTAACCATTACTCTGTTGTCTAGCTTAGTCGGAAACCACAAGTGTAGGTCAGTTAATGATGATTGAATTTGCAACACTAGCGAGTTTACTAACCCTGTTTTCACGGATTTAATTCTTATGCATAATTTAAGAAGTTAATGAACACACACATACGTCTCTCTCTCTCTCTCTTTCTCTCTCTCTCTCTCTCTCTCTCTCTCTATATA